TAGGGAAGCATGATGTGGACTCCTGTGAGAAAGCAGGAGGGGTGCCGTGGTGAGGCAGTGAGGGGGTTGTGACTGCTCTGAAAACCAGCCATTCACCCGGGCCCCTGGCTGGGGTGAGGGGAATTTCTGGGGAGGTATCAGGAGGCTTCCAATCTTGGTGGAAGGCAAAGGCGGACCTGGCATGTCACAGGGTGAGAGGCGGCAGGAGAGAGAGGAGGAGGTACCAGTCTCTTTTAAACAGCTGGCTCTTGCGTGAACTACCAGAGCGAGAACTCACTCATTATCCTGGAGAGAGCGCCAAGCCGTTCATAAGGAAGCCACACCTATGACCCAACACCGTCCACTAGGCCCCTCCAACACGGGAGGTCACATTCCCACGTGAGATGTGGAGAAACACACATCCAAACTCTATCACTCGAAAGCAGCAGGCATTTTTCTCTGCACTGGAGACTTCATCTTGGTTTTGGAAATGTCCCTGACTTGGACTTTATTTTTTTTTTGAGCCGGAGTCTCACTCTGTCACCCAGGCTGCAGCGCAGTGGCACAGTCTCGGCTCACTGCAAGCTCCGCCTCCCGAGTTCAAGCGATTCTCCTGCCTCAGCCTCCCAAGTAGCTGGGATTACAGGCACCTGCCACCACGTCCAGCTAAGTTTTGTATTTTAGTAGAGACAGGGTTTCACTATGTTGGTCAGGCTGGTCCTCAAACTTTTGACCTCGTGATCCGCCCGCCTCAGCCTCCCAAAGTGCTGGGATTACAGGCATGAGCCACCGTGCCCGGCCCTGACATGGACTGTTAATAAAGCAGATGTAAAAAGCAAAGTCCTCGTCTCCCCATTGGGCACAGTGAGTGTCTGGCATGTGCTTGTGAGGGTGGTGAGTTGGCCTCAGCCGTGGGGAGATAGAATGCAGATACCAGGGGCACAGCTTGTAAGTATTTTCCACACTATTTTGACTCTGATCCACAGGAAGAAGTATATTCCACATCACAATGCCATATGTGGACAATGTGGACACTCATACTTGAAACAAATCACGTAACACCCACCCTTCCTTAAATACACTACTATTTTCTATTTCTCTTTTTCTTTTGAAATGGAGTATCTCTCTGTCACCCAGGCTGGAGTGCAGTGGCATGATCTTGGCTCACTGCAACTTCCACCTCCTGAATTCAAACGATTCTCCTGTCTCAGCCTCCTGAGTAGCTGGGACTACAGGCATGTGCCACCACACCCCGCTAATTTTTGTATTTTTAGTAGAGATGGGGTTTCACCATGTTGGCCAAGGCTGGTCTCAAACTTTTGACCTCTTGATCCACCTGCCTTGGCCTCCCAAAGTGCTGGGATTACAGGTGTGAACCACTGCATCTGGCAATATTTTCTGTTTCTGTTTCTGTTTCTGATCATTGCTCACTACAGTGTTGAACTCCTGGGCTCAAGAGATCCTCCTACCTCAGCCTCCTGAGCAGCTAGGAATGCAGGTGTGCACCACCACACCTGGTCAATTGTTTTTTAAGAAGCAGGGTCTCTATCATCCAAGCTGGAGTGCAGTGTTGCAATAATGGCTCGCTATAGCCTCAACCCACCTGGGCTCAAGTGATCCTCCCGCCTCAGCCTCCCAAGCAGCTGGGACCACAGGCGTGCACTACCACATCCAGCTAATTTTTTTATTTTTTGTATAGAAGGGGTCTCTCTATGTTGCCCAGGCTGGTCTTGAACTCCTGGGCTCAAGCAGTCCTCCTGCCTTGGCCTCCCAAGGTGCTAGGATTAAAGGCATGAGCCACTGTGCCTGACCTGGCTAATTATATGTGTGTGTGTGTGTGTGTGTGTGTATATATGGGTGTGTGTGTATATGTGTGTGTGTGTATATATATGTATATGTATATGTATGTGTGTGTGTATATATATGTGTGTGTGTGTATATATATGTATATATATACACATACGTATATGTAGAGACAAGGTTTTGCTATGTTGCCCAGGCTGGTCTTGAACTCCTGGGCTCAAGCAATTCTCCTGCTTAAGCCTCCCAAAGTGCTGAGATTACAGGCATGAGTGCCTGTGCCCAATCTATTCTTTTTTTATGCTGGTCGTCACCCAGTAATTTGATGTCATGCCTCACCAGTGGGTCTGGATCTAGTCTATGAAGCTGTGCAGTAAGGGACCCCGGAAGGATGGGCCTGGTCCCGTCCCCGAGAGCCCTGTCCCCTCTAGATGCCCCCATGCGGTCTCTAAAGCTTCAGGACAGTTCTGTCAGAACTTGCAGCCTGGTCTTGGCTGTGCTGTGGGGAGTTCAGGAGGGGCTGCCTGTACTGGAGGGGAAGTCAGAGCAGAGCCCTTCTCTAAAGCCACAGTGGCAGTTAAGACAGGACACGGAGAGCAAGTGCCGGGCAGTTCAGCCTCTCCAGCAGCACACAAAGGTTTGATGAATCGAGAACAGCAGAGTGCCTTGGACTGGGGCTAGTGGTAGGCTCTGCTCTGGGACCTCACTTACTCACCCCTTCCCTAATCCTCCCTGAAAAATGAAGGTCCTGGTCTCTAGAGACCCCTCCAAAGAACAAACAGGCCCTGGAACAAAACCTGGAACTCCCTTGGGGAGTGGAGAGACTCAATGTGGCACCATCTATGTGATGCTCATGTTGTCCCGTGTTGGGGTTGACGGGGGAGCTCTTCCCCAGGGCAGATGCAATTCAGGCAACTCCTGCGAGACTCTGAAAGTCCACCTTCCCTCTATACCTTACCCTGGAGCAGCACTGTCAGGGTGACAGGCATCTTCTTAGGCATGATGTCATTTGGTGGCGGCCCCTTTGGTGAGCGTTGGAGCGCTGTATTAGCAGGGGGCTGAGGAGGGGACTGGCAGGAGAGTCAAGATGACTACAGCCCCTAAAATTCTCAGTCATGACTGGGGCAGGGTGGAATCCAAATGCCCTCCCTGTTTAAAAAAAAAAAAAATCAGGGCCAGGTTTGTCCACTCATTCAATAAGATGTCTCGAACTATTATGTGGCAGGCACAGGGACATACAGAGAGGTCCAAAGGCAGGGTCCCTGCTCTCTGGGAGCTTCTGGTCTTAGTGGGGCACACAGTCACTAAGTCAACAAGATCCTATTGGATAGTGACAGGCACTCTAAGGCACTAAGATGGGGTCATGGGATAGAAAGTGGCTGGACTGGGGCTGGGGGCTACTTTGGGTGGGCGATAATAAGAACAGGCCTTTTTGAAGAAATGGCAGTTGAGTTAAAATGGATGAAAAGATGCGACGATCCACACTTCCCCAAATGACAGTTTGAGAGCAAAATACAGGTTCCCAGCCCCATCTCAGATTTCATGAATGAAAATTTTAGGGGCAGGGCCTAGGAATTTGCCTTCTTCCAAATGATTCCCATGCACACCGAAACTGGAGACCTTCCTTGGGGCTTTTACTTTAGAATCACACTGGTGAATTGCAGGGTTCCTTCCAATTCCCGGAGTCTGTGGCTTAGGGAAGGGAGCTTCTCTGGGTGTGAAAGCCAGGGGCAGAGAGAGGAGCAGGACTGCTTGTGGTCAGATTGCAGCATGCGGAAAATAAGCGTGCACAGCTTCTCACCACACAGAGCTCACCCAGGGTCCTGCGTCTATGGCTGTCAGGAGTTCTTCTAAACCTGTCCCCCCGAGGAGTCCCTCCCTCTTCCCACTCCCACTCCCGTTGAATTCCACATACTGAGAGGGCTGCAGTCACAGCTGCGTAGATCAGCCCTGTTTCTTGCGCGTTGGGAACCATTCCAAGCAGTCGGTACATGCGCACTCTCCAGGCATATTTTTAAGATGCCAGGGTCACCCCGCCTCCACCCCATACGCCCCCCACCCCCACCCTCATGCTGCCGGCCCTCGGGACCTGCCTGACCACCGACTCCGCCGGAGTGTGGGCTTCTAACCCTGCAGCAGCTGCCGCAGTGGAAAGGCGCATTAGTCCCAGCAGACACAGGTAGCCTCGGGTGGGACAAGTCTTGTCTCTTCCAGCCTGTAGGGGCAGAGGTGGGGCACGGCTCCCCCCGCCCCGCACAGAGCAAGAAAGTATCTCCCCGGCAGGAGACCGGGCGCCAGGTGAATCAAGAAACCTGTTGTGTCCCCTTCCGTCCTCTCCTGGCCTCAGTTTCCTATCTATTCAATAGGGAGAACCCTTTGGGATTTCCTTGGGAAGACAGAAAGGGGGATTTTGTTTTAAAAGGAGCCCTTCCCGGCCGTGCACAGTGGCTCACGCCTGTAATCCCAGCACTTTGGGAGGCCGAGGAGGGCGGAACACCTGAGGTCAGGAGCGGATCACCTGAGGTCAGGAGTTCGAGACCAGCTTGGCCAACATGGTGAAACCCCGTCTGTACTAAAAATACAAAAATAATCACACCTGTAGCCCCAGCTACTCGCGAGGCTGAGGCAGGAGAATCGCTTGAACCCGGGAGGCGGAGGTAGCAGTGAGCTGAGATCGCACCACTGCACTCCAGCCTCCGCGACATAGCGAGGCTCCGTCTCAAAAATAAATAAATAAATAAATAAATAAATTTAAAATGAAATAAAGAGGAGCCCTGCCCCCTTTCACTTCCTCTCCTCCGCGATCGCTGCTTTCAGCTGGGCAAGAGCGCAGCGCTCTCCTGCGCATCCCGGGCTGCGCTCCCAGGCCGGTGGCTGGGGAGGAGGTGGCAGGTGTGTCACTGTGTCGGGGGCGGGAGGGAGGAGGAGGAGGAGGAAGAGGAAGAGGAGGAAGAGGAGGAGGAGGTGGAGGAGGAGGTGGCAAGGTCGCGGTCCGAGGCTCCGGTGCTCGCCGCCGCCCAGCCCCCAGCCGAGGCTTTCTCCCCCGCGCCAATAAAAGGCCGGCCCGACCCGTCCCCCGCGCTCCTCAGCTCTGCGGGACACCCCGGGCTGCAGCTGGGCGGGCGCAGACAGGCCGAGACGGGCGCCGGGACCGAGGGACCGAGGGCTCCCCATGAGGGCACGTGGGCCGGGCGGTCTGCAGGCCCGGCTGAGAGCGCGCCATGGGGCAGGCGGGCTGCAAGGGGCTCTGCCTGTCGCTGTTCGACTACAAGACCGAGAAGTATGTCATCGCCAAGAACAAGAAGGTGGGCCTGCTGTACCGCTTGCTGCAGGCCTCCATCCTGGCGTACCTGGTCGTGTGAGTTCTCCGTAGACTGTCGGGAAGGCGGGGGAGGGGCAGGGCGGGTGCCAGCAGCAGCGTCCTTCTCCAGGGTCCTGGAATTCCCGGGCGTGCACATGGTTTGCCCAGTAGCTGGGGGTCTGTGAGCCTGCTTGGGGTGGGGGTCCTCTTTGGGTCCTTGGGTGTAGGGGTAGGGTGTAGACAGGGAGCTCTCCACTCCCCCACTGGCGCCAGAGGTGATGAGAGGTGGGCAGGGGCCTTCTAGGTTCCTTGATTTATCAGGCTTTCCATGCAGCTGCTTCTCCCAGAGTCGGGTCCCCACGTGTTAGGGCCATGGGAAGGGGGCAGGAATGCCAGGGGGCTGGGTGGCAGCTGTCGCCCCAGGAGCCTCCCTGGGCCTTGGCCTGGCAGCTGACCCAGGCGCCGGCAGGTTATTTATAATCACAGGGTGTCACTGCCTACTCAGGGCTGGAGCAACTCATCAGCCCGGCATGTTCCTCAGCTCCCTTCCGGTCAAGCTGCCCCACCCGTGCCAGCCTCACTGGTGTCCAGCTGGGGGTCCTGTCCAGAGGCCTCTCTCTCTGGACCCAGCTCGGCCGTCCCCTTCCCCCATCCTCATGCCACCTGACAGGAGCTGGTGCCACAGAGCCAAAGGGGCAACTTGTGGAGGCTGCTCTGCCAGGTGCCTTCAGAGCCCTGCCCCCGGTGGGGGTGGGCAGTGAGCAGGTGGAGGGGGGCAGCAGCGTGCGACAATGGGGATGCACCTCGTCCCATTCATTCAGTAAGTGCTGTGTGGAGTCCCTCCTGCTTCCTCCCGGGAGGGCAGCCCTGACGCCTGGCTCTCCCCTGGAGGTCCAGCAGTCACATTCCCTGAGCTGCATTCCCAGGCCCCTGGCCGCCTCCCACCTGAGCCGCCTCCTAGGCGCTGGGCTGTTCCTCAGCCAGGCCTGCCTGTCCCCTTCCACTGCCTTAGCATCCACTCAGCCTGCAGATCTGAGCTCTCCGGTAACTCCCTCTCCCTTCCTCCTGTTCCCGCAGTGTAATTATTAGGCTTATTTGGGAGATCATTTGCCTAAAGTCGCCGTCAGTCCGGGAATGCCCTGAGGGTAGGGCCCAGCAGCACTTAACTGCTTAGGGAATAGATGTGAAATGAACGCGTGAATGAATAAATGGAGTTGCTTTGGCTTAAACAACAGAAACTTAATTCTCGCAGTCCTGGGTGTGGAAATCTGAGATGAGGGTGGTAGCACGGTCTGGGGTCTCAGAGGGGCTCTGGGGTCTCAGGGGGGCTCCTTGGCTTGCAGATGGCCACCCTCTCACTGTGTCCTCATGGCAGGGAAAGCAGGAATTATTTAACTACGTACAAATATGAAAATTAGGAAATTGGCAGCCGGGCGCTGTGGCTCACGCCTGTAATCCCAGCCCTTTGGGAAGCTGAGGCATGTGGATCACCTGAGGTCAGGAGTTTGAGACCAGCCTGGCCAACGTGGAGAAACCTGTCTCTACTAGAAATACAAAAAAATTAGTTGGGCGTGGGAGTGGCGCCTGTAATCCCAGCTACTCCGGAGGCTGACGCAGGAGAGTCTGTCTCTATCGATTTGCCTATTCTGGATATTTTGTATAAATGAAATTGTATAGTATGTGGCCTTTTTTTTTTTTTTCTTGCTTCTTTCACTTAGTGTGATGTTTTCAAGGCTCACCCATGTTGTGGCATCTATCAGCTCTCCATTTCTCTTTGTGGCTGAATACTATCCCGCTGTGTGGGGCTGCCACATTGTGGTCATGCGTTCATTAGTTAATGGACATTTGGGTGGTTTTCACACCACTGGGTGTGGTGGCTTATCCCTGTAACCCCAACCCTTTGAGAGTCTGTGGTGGGTGGATCACTTGAGGTCAGGAGTTCAAGACTAGCCTGACCAACGTGGTAAAACCCCGTCTCTACTAAAAATTCAAAAATTAGCTGGATGTGGTAGCAAGTGCCTGTAATCTCAGCTACTTACGCCAGTGCACTACAGCCTGGGTGGCAGAGCAAGATGCTGTCTCAAAAAAAAAAAAAAAAAAAAAGCATGCTTCTAAGAACATTCATGTACAAGTTTTTTGTGTGGACATGTTTTCAATTTTTAAATTATTATTATTATTATTATTTTGAGATGGAATTTTGCTCTTGTTGCCCAGACTGGAGTGCAATGGCGTGATCTCGGCTCACTGTAACCTCCGCCTCCCGGGTTCAAGAGATTCTCTTGCCTCAGCTTCTGGATTAACTGGGATTACAGGCATGTGCCACATTACAGCCATGCCTGGCTAAGTTTTGTATTTTTTTAGTAGACACGGAATTTCACCATGTTGGTCAGGCTGGTCTCAAACTCCTGACCTCAGGTGATCCACCCGCCTAAGCCTCCCAAAGTGCTGGGATGACAGGCGTGAGCCACTGCGCCCGGCCTGTGTTCTCAATCTCTTGGGAATTTTCTGGCTTATGTGGTAACTCGATCCTTAACCTTTTGAGGAACTGCTAAACTGTTTTCTACGATAGCTACCTCATTTTACATCCCTATCAGTGATATATGGGGGTTCTAATTTCTTCACAACTTTATCAACACCTGTTATCTGTAGGGTTTTTAAAAAATGACTGCCATCCTAGTGGAAATGAAGTGGTGTTTTATCATGGTTTTGATCTGCATTTCCCTAATGACCAATGGTGTTCAGATTCTTTTCATATGCTTAATTGGGCATTTGTGTATCTTTTTTTTTTTTTTTGAGAAATGTCTATTCAAATCCTTTGCTCATTTTTCAATTGGATTGTTTGCCTTTTTATTGTGAAATTATAAGAGTTTTAAAATATCTTCTGGATACTAAACCCTTACCAGATGCATTATTTCAGATGTGTTCTCTCATATTCTGTGGTTGTCTTTTCATTTTCTTGAGTGTGTTTTTGATGCATGAAAGTTTGAAATTTTTATGAAGTCCAACTTACCTACTTTTTCTTTTATTGCATGTGTTTTTGGTGTCAAAATGTATGGGATTTGTACTCTTATTTCATTATTTGTTGTTTTTGAGGCTGGGTCTCACTCTGTCACCCGGGCTGGAGTGCAGTGGCACAATCACGGCTCACTGCAGCCTTGACCTCCCAGGCTCAAGGGATCCTCCCGCCTCAGCCTCCCGAGTAGCTGGGACAACAGGCTGGTACCACCATGCCTAGATTACTTTTTTATTTTTCATAGAGATGGAGTCTCACTATGTTGCCCAGGCTGGTCTCAAACTCCTGGGATCAAGCAATCCTCCTTCCTTGGTCTCCCAAAGTGCTGGGAGTACAGGCCCTGTTGGTGATGACACGCCTCTGCAGGGGGTGTCATGTTCTTGGTAACCCTCTACTAGGAAACATCTGTGGAAGAGGGGCGGTACGTGAGGAATCAGCCTTCACTGCTAGCCTTCACAGGGAGCTCTCCTCTAGGCCCGGTCGGGTACCCGATCCAGCAACTCTTATTGAGGGTGGGGCCGGGCTCAGAAGCTCCACCTGTCCACCAGCTTCTGGCCAGGGGCCACCTCCCACTGCTGACTAAAACACCAGTCCTGGCAAGCAGCAAGGCGCCAAGCACAACCCACAGATGGGGGCTCTAGAGGCAAGACCACAAGTCCCTCGGAGGCCCAAATGAATAACCTGCGGCTGAACCAGCTCAACCACATACCCGTTTGGTACCCCAGGCACAGCCATTTCCGATACAGAACATGGGGTGACAGTGCCCTCCCTCTGGTTGTGATGATGGTAGATGAAATGGTGCCTAATCTGAAACATCACGATGAGACCTCAAACAAACCCAGACTGAGGGGCACTCCTACAATAAAGTACAGGCCAGCCACGTGCTTCAAGCTG